CCTTTTTTCACGATTTTGTGGTCAAATTATTTTACGATCCAAGTGGAAACCATATTGATATTTATGAGTGTTAACTAGGTGATTAAATAGACAAAGTTTAGCCCCCTCCAGATTGTAAATGTCCCAATTCCATGAATTTTCGTAAATAAAATAGTTGTAGGTTACGATGAGACGAAGCTATTCACGATTTTTCGGATGTTAATAACTTGATTAAAATGGGTCTGTACCACTGACAATAAGTTTCAGGCCTTCGTTAGGGCTGATGAGACGCAAGATAACAAGCAAACACAACTAATTACAAATCTATTATAATAAGATAAGAAAGAAAAATATATCTTTATCTGCTAATAAATGAATTTTGTTTTCATTCCTTTTTATTATACTTCTTCTTCTTCCAACGGCACGACAACCCATTACTGAGTCCTGGCCCCCTCGAGCATCTTCCACCAGTTTAATCAATGTTGTGCAGCTGCCCTCCCATTCCGAACAATTTTTACAATTAAAGTTTGTAATCATTTTTGCATTGTTGTTATCTCGTATTTTCTTAGCCCTGATGAAGGTCTAAAACTTAGTCCGATAGGTATAAATAAAATATTTTTATTAGTGTTTTTCATTTTGCCTGCTAACTCCAATCAACTATCCAACCATATGACTTTGGTAAAATCATTACGAGTGTATGTGCACCATTATAAATATAATTTACACATTATAATGATTATACTGTTTCTATTGAACATATCGCTACTGTTAGTGCAAAAGATAGTATGTAAAAATTGAGTTTTTTTTACAGAAGAGAAATCAGAAAAATCTATTATTTCTTTATGATTTATTAGTATGATTTCATATTTTATTTCCCTCTGCTATTTTCCTATTTTTCACACTACTTACAGCAGTTGTAGACTATAAAATGTCACCTTTAGCACAATGGGAATAAACATGTAAAATTGTTACATACATTTTGCACTAACAATAGTGATATATTTTTTATTTTGAATGGTTCCTAAATTACTGACCTGTTTTAATTTTTTTTTCCATCTAACAATACTTTTGAGAATGTGATAACAAGTTCCTTTAAAACAAATATTTTTGTTAATTTTTATAATACTTTTTAATTTTAGGATCACCTGACTGATTTTCTTTCAGATTGTATATTATATTCATTAGTACTATTTTAATACTTACAACTTTTTATATTAGCTTATGAAATTTTTTATAAAGCTGGGTTATCCAAAATATATTTAATTACCAAAAATTCTGAATTTATAATTAGTTTTAATATATTTCGTTTTATTAAAAAAAAATCGACAATTTAACAATAAACATTAATCATTTTGTGATTGATTGTATAAAGGAAGTGATGAAGATCTAGTGTGGTTTTTAATTTTTTTTCATTAAATTACGGTTTTCGAAAGCAATTATTTTTCGAAATATGTTTCGGTTTAAACACGTACTAGTTATTGTTATTTTTAAAAACAAGAATTGTTGTAAATATTGTTTTAAAAAAATCCGGAACTGCCTTTAGCCAATCCTGGAAGATATATTGGTCTTGCTTGATATGGAGTCTCATCGCCTTGGATCCCTCCGTTATATTCGCGTACTCGTATGAATACTAATGACCGTATCAACTTTATATTCATATCTCAACAAATATAAATATATATATATATATATAAACATTCTATACTTCAGAACATTTTTAAATATTAGTTTATGTAAATATTTAGCTATCTAATATTATCTTTTAGAGAAATGATGATAGGAGAAAACGTTTGTACTACGTTTCAATAATATGATCAAGCGAAATTTTAGATAACTGTGTATTCATCATTTATTAAAATATATATTAAAACAGGTATAAGCTGAAATCAATTTATTCAGTTTTATGTTTTATTCTGGTGATATTTTTATTTTATTCATATTACTAGAAAACTTCGTGCATCATTTAAAACAGCCAAGCGCCGTTTATCATATTGTTTCTCTTTTCTGTTTTATTTCTTTTCTTTTCTACTTTCACTTACCTATATGTAGAATAGAATAGAATAGAAGAATCAAATTTATTCTTTATTCTTCAAACTTTGAGATTAAGCTCAAGTTTTGTAAAAAAATTATCCTGTCAAATGAAAGTACTCCTGTTTTCAGAAAAAAAAATTACTACAATTAATTGTTACAAAGCTTTTATTTCTTGATTTCCACGATCTAGGTTGTATTTTAATAAACCCAATTGCCTAAACATACATTTTATTTATTTAAAAAATTAATTCGAAAAATACTGATTTTCCAATAGTTTAGCGGCTTCATATTCATTTAAAGTTAATTTCAATATACAATGAAGCAATGTACAATATACAATGAAGCAATTATTAATTACTTAAATTAAATATTTCTGCAGTTAGTTATTGCTTTCGATTCAATAAAAAAACATGACTCACTTAAAAAACCAAAAAACTTGGATTTCCTACTTTTATGCTGAAAATTGGTCCATTGTTTATAGGAACTTTTTTTGTAGCTATTGAGATATGCTATCACTCCTTTAAAAAAAAAAATCTACTTACGGGACATCCTGAATATATTTTTTATTTACTCTAATAGGTTTTAATAATCTTTATTTTTTTTCAGTTTTTTTAGTCTTGAGAGACAGAATAAAAATCTTTATTCTAGAATAAAGAAGTTTTTCCATTCTAATCTATTTGGTCTTTGGAATTACATTTTTAGTCTTATTCAACATAGATCTACCTATATGATCTCTCTCTATATATATATACTGCTAATGTATAAATATACACCTTTGAAACTAACGGATATTAGATTGACTAACTCATTGCCGGAACTGACAGTTATCGTAATAACTTAGAGGAAGAAGAGAACGGTGAAGCAACTGCATTCTTGCTGATAGAACATTCATCTTTTATTGACTATTTCATATGTCGTTGTCAATTACATAATTGATTATAAAATTTTTGAGATCGGTGTTTTAGTGATTACTTTATTATTTATTATTATTTTTTAAATTTTCATTTATTTTTTATCTCAGCGAGATAATTGGTTTTAAAACTACAATGAGTACATAACTGAAATTTAATTGTCGTAATCGGAACAAGCACAAATCGCCAAACCCCTTAATAGTCTTATGTATCACGATATAACCTCCCTTCTCCTTTCACAGCGCACATTTCTTTTCATTCAGCCACCGCATTCAGCCTTTTTTTTTTTTTTCTTCTTAGTATGTGTTTAAAAAAACCGCAAATCGCAAATTTTCCTTTTGCGACAACTATCCAACGAGTTCTTTTTTTAACATAAAAGGAAATATAAACCTTACAATAATATGAGGTTAAAATATCTCCTTTTACTACGGCAGTGCCATTGGCCTACCTAAAAGGCGCGATTCTGAATTTATTTATTTTAATATTTTTTTTTATTATTTATTACAATAATTTATTGTAAAACATTACATAATTTTATTTAAGGGGACTCAACAATTAATCCACCTCGGGCCCCAAATGGTTTATAAGTACGCCACTGAATTGCCTTGTTTGAAGTCTATAGAAGTATTTTTTGTTTCAAAGTTTACATAATCTATTGCCACGTATATCTCTCTATACAATCATTACACTCATATTTATTAACACTTTTTTAAAAATATTATCTATATCCATTACTTCCATGGACAACTAACATGGCAAACCTTTGATTTCTCCTTTAAACTATATATTTTAACCTATTTTTAGTCCAAGATTCCGAAAAGTTACAAAATAAAGAATTATGATACAGTCTATCATTAACACTGTCAGGACTCCCAAATTGGGAAGGAAGGAGTTGCCGGTCGCATGGTACAGAGATCCGGGTTTAAGGGGCTCAATAAAAATTAAGGGGCTTGGAATTTATTAAAGTTATTATTAGATTGTTTATTTCATAAAAAAATCGTTTATTTCATTGCATTTATTATTTTTATTTAATTTTAATTATTGATCGGCAAACAGCGGAATGAATCTTGACGTTCTCAGTTTGGTTAGAATAGGTTTGTTTGTACCTCCAGAACAATCCCTACTCCTCCTATGTCATGGTAAGGTACATTCGAGAAAAAAAAAAGGTGGTTAAAAATTGAATTGTTAAATATCATTAGGTAATAGCCCAAGTTAAGCAGAGATGGAGAAGGTAGATTAAGACGGGAAAAGAGCAGCAATGTCTGTAAAGCCAACAAAAAAAATATATTTACTCAAAAACACATGAGTACTTACTACATGGGGCAGCCCGTGTAGGATGTGCCCAATACATAGTTGTTAAAAAAATCGCTGAGAACCATCGTGACTCACAGATAAGAGAGTCGGGCAAACCAAGCGGTTCCATGAGCAACTTCCCGATGTGAATTTACAAGACGTGTCGCAACTCCAACAGTCTCTTAAAACTATGTAAACGCAAACCTTAAAGACATTAGCTACATAAAAGAGACCGTTAGGTCATTACTTAATCAAAATTATAGGAATTCGTTTCAGCCCCCAATCCAGTCCAATGTTTAAAGGAACATTTCAAATAATCTAAACTAGAATGAGGTCCTTCTAACCTATGTTGATATAAACGGCTCCTTAGCAGTAAAGAAATAAACAAATAAATGAACTTAATTTAGACGAACTTATTAGTGGAAAAGTTCATATAAAAATGTTCTCAATTATACTTTCACACACATCTGTTTTCTATTTGTTTTTTTTACAAGAATCTGATATCGCATTATAGAATTGAAATCAGTAAGAAATTCTGGAGCTTTTACTTTCATGAACCACAGATGCTGAAGGGGTTTTGCCGCATTCCTGAAAAGTTGAAGTTAGGGTACACCTCACAGAATGGTGGCAAGCTAGTTTATCTCTTCTACTAGTGTCTACTTGGATATTGATAGTAGAGCCAACATATCGAGATCTAGAAGGTTTAAGTTAATCGATCAATTTAGAAGTCTTTGGATTTTAATTCAATATGCCTGTTGTATTTTCATATCTTCTCATTCCATGTAGGAAACGATGCAGCACTCCACTTCAAAGAAATAATTTTCCTGTGGGGGACTCAGAACTAGATGAGGAGGATGACGAATCTGGGAGTTTCCTGAATCCATTCATAAAGTAAGAATCGGAATAAATCAAAGTTTCACTGAGAGGGGAAAGAGACTGATTGGAGGTGGGGCAGCAAGAAAGTCTTGGGAGAAAGGTGGGGTGCTCTTCCAGTAGCGGGCCTGACACCATGCCGGTATCAACAGTCTGAATTCCCTTCTGCCAGAGAACATTGTTCGACATCGTAAGTCAATGACAAATTATATTATTATTTATTTAAATTTAATTATAGTATACATAATTAGTTCCATGGATCAGTGAACACCGAGGACTCTCCTTACCAGAGGTCAAGGTTGAAGTCACGACTCTCGAAAAAGTGACCTACTTCGGACTTCTTATTTACATATGACTTCAATTCCGGGTTTCCGCTTCTTAGGATTTGCATACTGGCCAAAAATACGTAAAGCAGCTTTTAAAACTATCAATCCATGTTAATTATACTCAATTAAAATTATCATATAAATTGTTGGAGCCTTTGTATATGGTCAGAAATCTGAAAGAGAAGTTTCAGGAATTAAAATTTTCCCAATTATTCCAACATATTAAAATAAATTTGAATATTCCATTATAAATCCATGATTATTTTATGCAATGCAACCATTCTTTATTACTCCCTCTCTTTTAGGATCATCTATCAGATTTTTATTCATTTTTCATGCCTTAAAAGCTATAGATTAAAAGAATTGTATACATATAAGGAAAAATGATGTAATAAATTAGACTATAGGAATAATAAAGTAATAAATAAAAAATATTGCATATGAAAAAATTCAAAAACAGAAAATTCAAACCCAACAAATAGTACTAATAAAATTTAACCATGACTGTCTTAAATTGAAATAAAGTTTCACCTCAGGATCTCTCATTTTCCATTTTCGAGAATATTAATTTTGATTAAATAAAATCGTTATATTTAGGATAATTTACAGACAAAAAGTAATATTTTTTATTCTTCACAAATCTCTTTTAAAACGATGAATTTTAAAGATATATTTTTTTTAACTACGTTCATTTATTATTTGTTTGTCATTGTGCATAGTAATAACATAGTGTATAATTTAATTACATTCTTAATATCAATTAATTATTATATTAATTATACTCTTAATTAGTATGTAAATTCGGTGATGGAATAATATATTACAATTATAACTAGACTTAATTTAAAATTATGAAAAATCTTATGACTAGGCGATGTTATTCATAAAGTAACAGGATGTGTTGTCTGCGTTATGTCTAGACAAGGTTTCGTTATAATTAGTTACCTTTTTTTTCAATGTTTACGAATAAATTTACACCCGCATCCCCCAGATACGGAATTAACGCTAAGTGGATTGTCTGATTATAACATCACAAATAATATGACGAAGAATTTTCGCTACTCGTAGCTGAATTTTATTAAATCCGTCAGTTTCATATTTTGCTTTTTCAGTTTTTTTATGGTCTAGATGTTATTATCATTTGTTCAATTAATGTTTTTTAGAGTAATTGATCTCAAGTTTATAAGCTAGCTGTCGTAATATGTTGATCATTATATAAATTAATTTATTAATTAAATTAATAAATTATTTTATATGCTTTATTGGTGCATCAAAATGGAAGTTTTTTGTCGTGTTTATCCGATTTTTTTTTCAATTTTACTTATACTAATTAATATATCTTTGTTTTTTTGTTTATTTATTTATTTAGAAATATAACAATCTTTCACGTTTTTTTCATTGTATGTTTGTGAGATAGATGATTATTTTAAATACTTATCTATTTTAAGTCTTACGGTAGTTTGATATAGATTTGTTTTGTTTAATATGGGCTAGAAAATAAATAGCGAAATTCATTTAGAACCTAAAATATGTTAATATATAGGCGACAGACCTGTATTTCAGTACCTGCAATTCCTCGTCTAGACCGTTGGGTTTGATCTCCATTTTTTGTGTCGTGTCCCAAAGGTTTGGTTTAAAATTCCTTTTATTTATTTTTTTTTTACACATGCTTTTTTAAATTTTTTTTTGTCAGTAATAAGAATACTTACGCCTTTATCTACCTTATGTAACAGTCATTGTAGCTGCTGAAATAATTTCAATAACATATTTAATAATTAAATAACATATTTCAAGAACCTTATCATTACTGGTGACTCACTCGAAACTTGGATATTCCCATGATGGAAATTCTTTGGGTTGTTGATCGTTGTTTTAATGTTTTATTTAGGTGCTATATTACTAAAGCTGGTAAGGATGATTTTTTTTTTTTTATTTTGTATTGCCAATCTATATTCGCCATAGTGGGAAGTTGAGCAAGATTCTTGTGGCTTCTGCCTATAAGAGTGAATGTATTTACTGCTTTTCTGTTCTTTTATATTTTTTGCATTCATTCCGCGAGTCCGAAGAATGAAATTCGAACCGCATAGGAGTCAATTGAACTTAATCCAGTCGTGCAGGTATTTCATGCTCCTCAATGCCATACGTTGAGGAAGGATCGTAACCTCCCCCCGATTGTTATTCCCGAATGATTCATTCACTTATGAGACTGCAGTTAATTATGAATCCCGTTAGATTAAGTGATGATTTTAAATGAGCCCTTTCCTTTGTCGCTTTTCTTTTTTAAAACGCCTTTGTTGAAAACCGCTTCCCTTACTTTCACCTTGAGGATTAGGGGTTACGTTGAATTTATCTCGATTCCGAAACGTCATCATCATGCATAATCATCTCTTCTGATTCAAGAGAGCTTGTTAGTCAAGGCCATTTACTGTCGAAGCCAAAGCAAAGAAGAGCCAATTGTCGAGGGGTCAAAGTATACACTGAAAATATTTAAAAAGTTAAAAAAAATTGTTAGGACAAATAGGAATTTCTTTATGAATCTTTACTGAAAATTAGTACAATATCAGAATAGTAATATTTGATAAGAATATTCTATATTTATCATAACTAAGGTCATTTGCCATTTCAAGTAGCATCCATTTTTTTTTCATTAAATATTTTATTATTTATAATGCCTGATTGAAATTTCGGGGCAACGTTCTCCAATTTCAGAACACTCTTTACTAAAAATTTACATTATTATTTTTTTTACTACAATATACTAATAATATAGATACTATCTTGGCATTATAAATTACTAGAAATTAAACATCTTGAAAGACAATAAAATTTACACCATAATATGTACATTAAAAGGCTTAACAGCCTATACTTAGCACACTTTGTCAATAAAACTTAGACGAGACAGATAAATAAACTTTAGCCCCTCATTACTAGCTTCAAAAATTATTTAATACGTTTCAAAGATTTGTTAGAAAAATAAGGATTTTCTTTATTTATCTTTACTGCAAATTAACCTGTTTTTATTATTCAAAGTCAAACATGATGAGATAGTAAATATCTTAAGAATTTCAACGGATCATTATACTTATAAGTTTGAGAGATAGTATTAATAAATAGTGATTTATTTCTTTAAATTATTGGATTAGCTTTTAGGCTAGAATCGTATAGCAATTGAGTCTACCTATAATTCTGCTTCCTCACAACCGAAGTTAGGGAAATATTAGTATTTCAAATATTAAAAAAAAAAAAAAATAATAATTTACGTTTTAGATAAGAAACGAATTTGGATCTACCTGTAGTAAAATCCGTATATTCGTATATCTCCATTAATCCGATTTTCATTTTTTTTTACAATTCAAATTACATCCGCTAGTGGACAGTGATAGGTCTCTATCTCAAAAGCTAGGAATTGGTAAACGAAGTAACAAGTAAGTATCAATATTATCAAACTCCATCCACTATATTAAAAAAATGCTTTCGATTTCGGATGCACAAACTTATCTTCTTGGTACTCTTATGTTTGAAAGACGGCAGGTTCGATACGAATGAATGATCTATTATTCATTCATCGCTGGGCTCTACAGTCCTTGAAGAACCATGGCCTCTGCTACGTCTTCTTCCACATATTCCTGTAAGCAGCAAAGAGCCTCCACTGCTTTACATCCATCTCCTTCAAGTCACCCTCCACTTCGTCCAACCATCTGAGCGGAGGCTTTCCACGCCTTCTTCCATCTCCCGGTTTTTCATAGAGAATTTTTCTTGTCATTTTTGTAGGGTCTATCCTTTCCACATGTCCCAACCATTGCAATCTGTTGAATTGAATGTCTCTAACAATGTCATGTTCACCAAGCTCTTTTAGCTCTAGGTGAGACCTAATTTTCCATTGAGCCTCCACTGTAATTGGCCCATAAATTTTCCGGAGTACTTTTCTTTCCCATACATGGAGCATCCTTTTGCTTTCTTTAGTCATGGACCATGTCACGCTCCCATATGTCACAACAGTCCTCAGAATCGTTTTATGTATTATAGTTTTTGTTATTCTTTTCATATTTTTGCTTTAATATCTTTTCCTACTTGGTTCTTGCAGATGATCGTGCTACTTAAATTCGCCACAGCTCTTGAATCTCCAGTTCCCTATTCTCATTTACTCTCCCGTTAACTGATCTCTTCTCCTCATATAAATGCTCTTGTCTGTAGAACTATTATTAATTTGATCAAATTCCATTAATGTACCTAACTGTAGTAGACAGTGATTATATGCCAATGGCAGTTATATAGTTTTATAAATAATTGTTTTAGATATTGAGATATACTTGACTTTCAAAATTTTGAGAATAACAAACAATTAGGATATGCAGTCATTATGTTGTTTTGTTATTTTCCGACGTTTCGGCCCATGGGTCATCATCAAAGCTAAAAAAAATTTAAAAATACAAAATTTCTTTACAGATACTTTCCATCTCTTGTCTTCTCTTTTTTAAACAATTCTATCTAAATCTCAAGTATTTTTTTATTTTTATTCCTGATGGATCGAAACATCAGCAAGCTTAATAAACAACATGAACGACTGCATATTTGTTAATTTGTCATCCTTATAATATTTTTACTATAGAAAGTTTTCCTATAGTTATAGTCGTTTATAAGATTTTATATTGTAATAGTATTTAATTGTGATTAATTTATTTTTCCATAGCCTCTTATTTATGTTTTTTATTTGCTTTGTCGTCCAAATAAGCTCATTTTTTCTGCAAATTTTGCATTTTAAGGTCTATATCTTTATCATTATTTCTGATAATGACTTTGATTTCTGTACAATGATTAGGTGATGGGGCTTACCCTTTTTGTAATTAATTAATTTAACCTTGA